ATTTCAAAAACATCTCGAAATCTATCCGCGTACAAAAAAAAGCAAAGTAAAATAAAATAAACTCCTGCAAAAACCAGTCATCAAAATAGCTTTCAAAGCGTTTGAATGAAGCTCATTAATGAATAAATGCTTCCCGCATAATTGTTTAAACTGAAGGCATTTTATGCGTCAGTCGCATAAATTGTTACCAAACCGTAGGTCACAATTCATTCTTTTAGTTTTTTCGTCCTTTATTTCTCTTATTCTTCCTCCTTTTACTTGTAATTTCCGTTCTTAGTGCTTTAACCCTTTCATTTATTTTTTCTGGTAACGCAATTAGTTTAAAGGTTGTCTAAGTAATTTGCTTTCATTTAAAATAAATGAGTAAAAAGAGAAAAGTGTTCGCAGAGGGTAACATCAAATATTCCCATATATAAACACTATTTTACATTTCTCATAATGCTATTCGAACTATGTACGAGAAGTATAAAACTAAAAATTTGATTTAAGCAAAACCTAAGCTACGTTCCATGATATAGCGTGTTAAAGTATTAAACGATTGGCTCAAACAATTTTAAAGTAATTTATTTAAGCAGGATGGATAGACTGGAAGGGATTGTTTATTTATAGCAAAACTCGGCTTCCTGCCTAGGGGATGGTGCCATAGTACAAGACTTCTTTAGGGTTTAATTAGGAAGGATAAATTAGGAAGAGAAGATGCTAAGGAGAGTTTTTACATCATAAAAGGAAAAAAAAATGGAAAACTTCATACGGCCGCACGTTAAGCCGCAGGAATGAATTTAGACTCTCGATAACAAATACAGTACAATTTAGCAGCATGAATAAATTTGTTATTTGTTAGATTTGAATTATAACTTAAAATATATGTTTTTCGCACCGAGTTCAGCCTTAGAACTGATAAAATTTTGTATCACTAAACAAATTTCATATTGAATAATTAGCATACAACTTCTTTAAATTAAAAGCATAAATATGACCCATCTAATTATGCATTTTTAAAGCAATTTACTTAATCTGCATTAAACCCATTAACAAATAAAAAACGTTAGTTACGAGTCATTTGGGAGGGGGTAGAAACTGGTTTACAGCAAAAAGTTCAATAGCAGTATCAAATAATTTTTTTAAGGGTGATTTTATGATTGATTAGATCACTATTATAGTGCGAGTCTGTACTTTGCGCAGATATTCGATTTTTAGCATTATTTCATATCACCCAAATCATATTTTATTTACGATTCCTTACTGACTACAAAATTTAAGAAATAAAATGAAGCACAGTGAAAATAAATAATAAAAGTTTTCTTTAAGAGAACTTGGTAGTCACTGTATAAATCAGTGATTACCCTTACATTTTAGTATGGGAAAATATTTTATTTATTTTAAATCATTTGATATTTAAAATCAAAACAAAATTTTGAAATATAAAGTTTGTGACAATTTTTGAACTACGAATTTCAGAGATCAAGAAAACTAATAATCAATACAAAAATAATAATAAAAAAATCTGGAAGGTTTCAGATTTTAATGATCCGCCAAAAGGGCTCTTTCAAAATTTCAGTAGAGATTATATACAGAAATGGTGGAATAGCGAGACATTTTATAAGATATTAGATGAATATACATCTAGAATAACATGGGAAGTTTTGAATAGGTTAGTTTGTTAATTAATAACAGACCCATTAAATATTAAAGAATAATATCTTGCATTTTTCCGAATAGCAACAGATTCGAATGAAAAGTGAAACAACGCAAAATCATATTTCGAAACTAATATCTCTTTTGGGCTAATAATAATCTGGCGATTATACGACAAACGTATTCCTATAATCAATAATTTCTTTTCATAAGTATATTCCCCACAGAATTAAAAGGTAATTTAGGAAGTAGCACATAACACAATTATTGATTAAGGATTTAGTAAGTTTATGTGATAATTTCAGATTAATGAAGTTGGAAATCAGATTAGAGAAGTTGGAGTTGTTGTACCTGCACCTCATCGGTGCCCACACTATCGAAGTAAGAAGAGTGCAGACGAATAAGTACGAATGCTTGTTAATATTCGAATGCATATTTTAGCTCCAACTAAGTTTGTAAGCATTCAAATGTCCTAAAATATGTGTCAGAGGGTGATATACATGAACGTCAGAGATGGAGAGTAATTGCTAAGCCGTAAGCTGGCTAGTCACAGTCGGGCGTCTTCAACGACATGATTATTCTGCAAAATGTGATTTTAAGAAGAAACGTCTATCCTTTAGCATTAGAAGAGTTATTTGTTGAAAAGGGCTTCGGGTGGATCTGAAGACCGTTAAAGCTACGAAATAGCCAGAGCACTGTTAAGGTGTTATTTTTTGTTCGTAAAATTACACAGTACAAATAATAGTCTCTTCAATATAATCACCTAATGATCGTCTTCACCGCTCTGTGTAAATTTTCCATTGGTGGAAGCAGTGCTGCAAGTCATTTTTTGATACTTTATTTACGAGATGCATCTTTTTTTTTTAAAATTGATTTGACAGATTTAAATCTTATTTCTTTTGATGCCAAATTGATTTCTTGAAACAAGAGAAAATTACATGGATTCAGGAATGTAACGTAGATGTTCCAAGACTAGAAGCAAGTTACTAGCCCAAACACTACTTGAAGAGGAGAGAATTACGGATAGGCGCGTTTCCTAATGAAACACCCATTCTATTACTCATTTATGAAGAATTTGAGGACCACATCGAAGTCGAATTACCTTCATCAGCTGTCTTTCAGCTAAACATTCCATGTGAAAAATTCCTCTGATATCGGTAAAAAAGGTGATTGTTGGTTTAAATTTGAAGTTTCTTTGATATGCTTTCCTTGCACTTGGTGAAATTAGGACTTAGTCAGAGTCATATTGAAGAAAACTGTGATTCATCACAAGTTATAATATTTTTTTGCTTGGTCAGTGTCAGTTTACTTAATTCCTTTTTGTTCAAAAATTAGGACTGTCAGAACCATTTTCGAATACACTTATCTCACATAGAAATTATCACGTAAAATTTGTCGATGGAAAGTGAAACAAGATCCAATCACAACTGTATCAACCAATCAAAATTTTTAACAACTGTCCCCATACGTGCAAGAAGGCTTCTTTATTTTCACGCAAGATTTCATATTCACTTGTTATTCAATTAAACAGTCCTTCACCGGAACCGGTGTTAGCATTTTTGGCATCCTAGGTTATTAGTATAGTTATCGCACAGCATAAATTAGAATGTATTAATATTTTAAAACCTAATATAACTTTATTTAACTAATTAAAAATACGAAAAATTTTAATATTTGCCGTCTATTATAAATGCCAGTTATTTTCTTCGTTAGATATAGTCGTAATGATGTCATCGTATTGCAATTCTTGAGCAGTATCATTATATATATATATATAGAAACGTAAAACAGTTCCATTTTTCTTGACTTAAAACTATTTCAAATACACTTTTGAAAATTTAAACGCATTGAAAATCCTTTTTGCCAGAATTACTGACTATACTTTTTGCCAGAATTACTGATTGTCAAAAAATTCCATAGAATCCCATACACTATGATAAGTATCTCGTAAAAACTTGTTTTGAATGTAGAAAGCAACTTTATTTAGTGATTTTGGCCATTTTGGAAATGACATTCTGTAAACTGTACAACTTTATGACCATAATTTTAGAATGAATACCAGACGGATATCTGTTTATTACATCCTCAGCTTTTCTTTGTGTTAAAGCAATTGCCAAATTTTTCCAGTTTTCAGCTAAGCATTTCCTATCCAATTTTTAAAGACCATAAAGAAATGAGAAGTACATACTTACCTTGTCGAGCTGGTCATATCGTTGCTTTATTTAAAGAAAGTGTTCAATACTCAAGAAATTTATAGAAAGAGCTATTCTAGATCTGTTGGGGCATATAGTTTCAATATCTAACATTTCTGTCAAATATCAGACATCACAACTTTTAAGTTTATGATCTCTATAATAAGTCAAGAACGCTTCTACACCTTTCGAAAGTTTCAGGTTTTACATAAAGATGTTCAAAAATTGGTTCGATGGCTGCCATGCTGTGCGACACTGTTTAAAAATATTGTTTCAACACTAGTCATCTACTAATTTCACAATTAAGACTCAGGGTGAGACCTGCAGTCATACGGCAATACTTTATCTAATTCTTTCGAATAAATGTTTTCAGAGTCTTATTTTGTTAAATTACACAAAATTAACAAAATAATTTTCCTAATACTCCTACTGGTACAAGACTCTTTGAAGTGAAAAAAAATAAATAAAAATCAGTGTATAATATCAGTATATAAAAATAAAAATTAAAAAGTTTCTAGCAATAAAAATAAATAGTTTCTAGCAGCAGGTTTCTATAAAAATAAAAATAAATAGTTTCTAGCAGCAGGCATCTTCCAGCAGGCATCTTGAAGATGCCTGCTGCCAGAAACTATTTTGTGCAGTCTATGTACAAAGTGATTAAGACGTTAGAACACAAAGATATAAATAGTTACAGATATAATAATACAGATAAACAAATTTTCCAACCTATATTTATGCAAGAATGACTGTACACTATTTTCGAATATTATTCTTGTCAGTCTACCGGGCATCGTCCTTCTTGATAAACCTTGGCTCCCGAAAACAGGCGCCCTATTTAGTCGTCTGGGTTACTTCTGCTTTTTTGAGCTGAGATTCTTGAAAATTCTATCTTTAATTTGCTAAATTGGGTATTGGGTAGCGTATAAACGCATTATTTATAAGATGTGTAAAGACAGAAACATCCAAATTACGCAGAAAGTTTAGTTTGGGGAAAATATTTGAAAAAGATGCCAAATTGTTACATAATACGTGTATCAAGATCGCGAAATCAAGAGTTCTGTATAGGTATTGAAAAAAAAATTAACTGATCTTTGCTACCCTAGACGAAAGAAATAAACTGAATTCATTTAAAAATACGAAACAAGGTTAGTCACATTTTGAGAAAACTCCTACCTTGATCAGATTTTCCAGGCGTAGTCAACGGAAAGGAAGGTAACTCTTCATCATCTCGTATCTGTGAAGAAAACAGGAATAAAGTATAATCATATTGTTATTATCAGTGGAAAGATAAAACTAATCAAAACAAATTAGATCTGTTTAAAACTCTTAATATAATACTCTAAGTTTCCATGTTTGATCTAGGCTCTTCTTTGTAATTGTGCATCTTGCAAACAAGTAGTTCCAGATAGAAACAGCACTCTCTCGAGAAGATGCACCTAATCTGTAATATTGCTTAAGCAAGATGATAAGCGAAATCACAAGAATGGATGTACAATTTTCACAACAGAATATCGCATAAAACATTATACTCATGAAACTTCTTTTTGCCTTAACGTTTATCATACCTGTAATGGTAATTCTTGTCAGGCAAACCATAAACAAATAGCTATCCATCCATGCGGCTTAACCGAAAGACAAGGCGATATTTTAAAAATTCTGGCATTTTAGTTAAATAACTAAAGCTTGATACCCCATGGTTTTTAATCGTTTTGATGAACAAAACGTGGTATATAGCCTAATTTTCCACAATTTTCATGATTCCACATTATGATTTATCTAGATTATTTTTAAAGTAATGCCCGTTTGTGAATTCCATTTGAAATTTCGAATGTGAGTGAGATTAAGCGAGCGCGCAGGTTCCCAGCATTCGTCGCGAAGAATGTGACACCATTTAGAGTGCTGCCTGTAGGCTTAGTAATGTACAGAATAAAATGTAAAGAAAATAGAGCAAATCCACCGACAGGAGAAATACAGTCAGTCATCCAGTTCCGAATAGCAGGAAACGCGAAAGCTCTGAACACGTAAAGTGTTAGGTGAAAACGCAATGATTCACAGTAAAGTGCGAAAATACGTGCGACTGTTATACTGAGGAAGCAGCAAAAATAACCATGTTAAATGGCTGTCATCACAAGCGGTAGAGTCCTATAAGAAGAGTATGCAAGCATTCTTTGTTTGTAACAATAAATGTTTAATCTGACAAGGTAATTACGTAGAAACATAGAATTATATACAAATTCAGAAAATAAATGTTTTTTTGAAAAATTTTTATGTCTTCTTTTTACTGCAAAATGCAAAATGAGCCTTACTTTAAAAATAGCTCCCGTATTACCTTAGTTATCAACATTAAAATCCTTGATGACTTCGACCACAGTACATTAGTTGGGTATAGCAACTGAAACACACCTCACTAACTTCTAACATAAGTCGCGGCTAGACCACCTTATTGTCAGCATTCATACGCTTTTCCCCCTCCTTGAATAACATTTTGTAGATATTTACTCATTTTATTTCCGCTACTAATATTAAAAATTTGCTGAGTTCGACCACAGCACTATTGTAGCACATACCAAAGAAAACCGGCCGCAGCCATTTCTAACATAAGTAACGGTTGGACCACCTTTGATAGGTCTTTCTTCCTTGGATAATTTTTATAAGCACAAAGAGTATTCACACATTTTTAGAACGATTTCGATAAAGAAATTTTTTAAAAAAGCAAATGATTTGGAACAAAAGTACCCGGCAGCATCTCAGTATTTCAAATGAGAAATATTCCCTGCTACTTTTAAATTTATTCTTCTTTCAAAATGTTGCATGTAAACAAGCTAATGATTGATTCAACTGCAAGTCTTTAAATACATCTGTATTACAAATAAATAAAATAAGAAACCAAAATTTACAACTCAAAAAATTTAAGAAACAATGTTCATCAAATTTTGTCGAGGCATGTGGCTCAACGCTGAATAATTTGTGATACCATGTATGAAAACTATTTAGCAGGATATAAATGGAAATATATTGCGACCCTTGATGAAGCAAGGGTTTACCTAAACGACTGTAACGAAAAAAGGTCTAGTTATTAGAAAAAAGTGTACAAACCTGGTTCCGTGAATGCAAAGAAAGTTTCAATAAAGGGTTCATTATTGTCGCAAGATTCTCTTTCAGTGGGAAATTAAAAGTAAGAAGAGAGAAAAAAGGTTAAAATCAATTCAACGAAAGATCGCGAGAAAATTTTATGTCTGATACTCACAGAAGAAATTCCATTTCTTTACCTCAATGACTTTCAAAGAATGACATTTTATCCAGAAAATTCAACAACTCATACTTCGAAAAGAACCACCGCATTCTTTGAAAAAGTGAAGACTGATACAGATATTGCGCATAAACATTTTCTCACGTATTACTGAAAAGTATCTTGATGTTTCACCCATGGAATATTGTGACTTTTCTGTTTTGAAAATCCCTCTTTCTAAATGAAAACCGACCACGATTAATGAACTATGAAAAGTAGTGGAGAAGGCATGAAAATCAATAATCCTCGAAATTATACTCTTTTAATTAGAATGCAGACTTATAGTCCAAAAAAGACTAGATGGAACGTTTAAAAAATACTTACATTTTAAACATCAATTAAATATACCCTAAATCAGTCTAAAAATGTGTAAACTTCCTCTGTATTTACTACAATTTAATCTATATTTATTATTAGCTTTGATATTACGGAAAGTTTCGGACTGAATTATCAAGGAATTTTTGTATTCACAATTTTAACTTTACTAAAACAGCCTCATTCCAGCATCTTTTCGATATATTGAACACTAATAATGCTAATTAACATAGTTCAGTGACATATTCCATGAAATTAGACACATTTTGTCATTTTTTAAGTGTTGTTTTGTTTTGCGCTGCAATGGAATGATAATAGTTCTTTGTCCTTCCAGTGTCTATCGGCTAATATAAGACACTTCAGAAAATTCAAATAAAAGAATGCTAATTTAAAATTAGCAATGAAAATAGGTAAATTTTCAGTCATGAATCATTGTTAGTCTCTCAACTATATTTTCAAGTTTTCTACTCTTAAAAGTTTGCAAAAGATTTTATTGTAGGTAACTTAACTTTCCTACAGGCTTTCCACATTTAACAAAATCAATAAATTTCGTTCAATGTTCTTTTTTTAATTTCATTTCATATGGTTTCTAAATCATTGCTTAAAATTATAGATATCAAAGGCAGGGTGTGAACCAAAAATTACCAAAGTGTTTCAAGCGATACTTTAAAAAATGTCACATATATTTCAAAATTGCTGCTTAATATCTACAAATACATATTAGTAAAACCCATACTTCAGTTACATAGCTAATCTAAGTTGACTGTTGTTCTTGTCATTATAGACAAAAATCATACAAATAAGGATCTTAATGTCGCCTCTTAATAGAACAATAAAGAACTTTCTACAAAAGAGTTCCTTCATAAATCTGGACAAAGCAACAAGGCATGTCTAAGAGCAAAATCACATTTTGAATGACCCATTGTTCCATCCAATCCGAAATCGTTTCATAAGCAGAGACATTGTTTCAGCAATTAGAGCCAATTATTGTCTAATTTTTTTCAATACATGATAGCGGAACTGGTATCGTTATGGTGCTCTATCATTAGACACATACACGGATTAATAGGTGCAATGGGAAACTTTCCAATACGGGATGCGGATTCGGTTGCAATCATTGTGTATTTATTCTAGACTTTCTCTGTTTGCAGGGTGCGGTTGCATTTGATAAGTGCCCTTTGTAATCGCACTGAAGTAATCTGTATAATTCATTCAAGATGAGATGATGGGTAAGAACCTTTGGGGTTGCTTAGATGCCTTTAACGATTAGAGATTTCATTTCTCAATGAAATAGGATGAACATTAAAAGTACTAATACATTTTGAGCTTGGTTTTTTTAAAGCCACGCTGTAATTTTCGTGAGGCTAGTTTACGAGAATAATTACAAATAAAAGAGAAGAAGCACTTACAAAAACTTATCATTTTGTTAATCTACAGAAATATATCAGTATCTTTCTTTATGTGGATATATAATCATATATCTATCTATGATACATAAATGCAAATCATACATATGGATATAGAACAGATATATTTTAGGAATTTAGCCTGGCGGTCAAAATTATACCTTGTTTCTGGTTCACTATTGCATTTGCGATTAATAGAAAAAGATTTGGAAATATATATATGTGATGTATCAGCTTTAGCCAGGAATAAATAGATTGTTGGAGAATCATAAATTTAGTTGTAGCTTAAATAATCAGATGATAAGTTTAAAAAACAGGATCCATTTATTATTATTCAGGAGAAATCAGTTACAAAATTCATATCTCCGGAGTAAATAAAAAGAATTACTAATAACTTTTTGTATGAAGTTTACTGCATCGTGACATTTAAGAAAAAAGCCCCGATATTCTTCTGCGAGTCTTTTTATAGCCTCTGGAAAGGCGGAGCTTCCAAGAAATGACGTCAGCCAATCCAGTTCGCTTTAAATATTTCGAGAACATTCTATAACTGTACGTGTAGGAAAGGCGGGAAAAACAACTTGACTACGGGGCTGTGGATTTAATTCCACGTACTTTCAAATAAGAGAACGTCGCCATTAAAAATGAAAAGAACATACAGTTAGAATTTTAAGTGTATTCTTGACTATGGAATTCTATTATTACATATATATATGTAAGATATAACAAAATATGATAGCTATTTCAAAAAAGTAATTGGCGACCTCAAAATTAACATTCTAAATTGATGATCTGACCGTAAATTCATCTCTTCTCACAGGTTCCAGATTTTCCTATATTACGTAGCGTTTTAATGCAGATGCCTCTTGTCCAATCAAATTATTTGTAAACCAAAACTTTGAACTGAAACCTTTTCGACTCCCACCCTTCTTCCTCTGAAGTTCTATGACACTTTTCGTTTTTGAATTTATAGGTACTCGATGATTTCAAAACACTTCTTGAATATGCCGTTAAATCACACACCGGAAACGAATCTGATGATTCATTGGAAGTTTGAGGCAGCAGAGTTCGAAGACCACTGGGGAAACTTGCACCAGGTTAATCCTGTCTTGACCTTTTATAAATATGTCATGATTTAAAAATGATTTAGATGAAGACAGTGGAACTTTAACAGCTTTCGATATTACGTAGATGACCGAGAAGACGGTAGTGGCAGAGTGTAAAGCATGATGACGCAATTTAGCACAACGTATCTTGAAAAATCACGATCTTTATTATTTTTTTCCACGCATATCAAATTATCCTTTTGCAGATAAGATGTTTCCTAATTGTACTTGAATACAGTAAATTGCATTTTGAAGTACGACGTAGTTTTAAGCAAGTAAGCAGCAGCATGGTTTAAAAGCGTCTTGCCAGCAGCAGAGCTATGCGGAAAAAGGGAAAAGTGTCATAGAACTTCAGAGGAAGAAGGGTGGGAGTCGTAAAAGTTTCAGTTCAAAGTTTTGGTTTACAATTAATTTGATTGGACAAGAGGTATCTGCATTAAAACTTTACGTAAGATGGAAAAATCTGGAACCTGTGAGAAGAGATGAATTTACGAGCAGATCACAGAATTTAGAATGTTAATTTTGAGGTCGCCAATTACTTTTCTGAAACAGCTATCATGTTTTGTTATATCTTACATACATATATACAGGGTGTATCAGTACAGCGTTGACAAACTTCCAGGAAAGATAGAGTACACCTAGACGATGGGAAATCACATAGGAATGAATGATCGAAAACGCTTTCCTGAGGCGGTAGTGACGACAAAAAAGTCAGGAAAGAAAGGACACGAACGGGGTGAGAAATAAATGTATATTATTCGGAGTACAACAAAAACAAAGGAAAACAACATAAAGAGACAATGATCATCATCAAAGAAGGTGTTCGAAATTCCGACCCGGACCGTAATGCAGGAATCGTGCGTCATGCATCTTCCATTCGTGATGCAGATCTTCCATGCGCCCGAGAAGTGAGGCTTGCATTACAGTCCGGAGTCTTAATTTCGAACATCTTCTTTAATGACGATTGTTGTTTGTGTTTGTTCTTCTTTGTACATTTCTGCTGTACTAAAAATAATAAAACATATTTTCTCTCACTGTTTTTGTCCTTTCTTTCTTGACTTTTGGGTCATCACTATCGCCCCAGGAAAGCGTTTCTGACCATGCATTTCTATGTGATTTCCCATCGCTTAAGTGTACTCTGTCTCCTAAGTTTGTTAACGCTGTACTGATACACCCTGTATTGTTCTTGTTATTTTTTAACATTATTTTATTTCCATGAATTAAAAAAAAATGTTGAAATTTTACTTCGTATCATTACTTTCCAAACAGAGATTTAGTTTATATCAGGATTTGGAAAATTGGTTGAAATAATTGATTTCGTTTTCTGTTGTTGTGACTTTTTTCACTTGTCTGACAGCACCTTCAGAACAAGCCCAAGAAATTCATCAATTAAACAGGAGGCGTGCAAGATTGCGCTTGTCGTTGGCAACAGCCTTGAGCACCATACTTCCTCCTTTCTTTTATACTTAATAAAAATGTGTACATAAGACTGTGTGCATATTAAGACTTACATTTTGAAACTATTTTCTAAATCAGTAGTTTCAAAACTTTTTGCCAAAAAATGGAAAACAAAGACATTACCATCTATTTTGTAATTCAAATGATAGTCATATATTCAAATTCAATGTAGGAAAAGACACAAATAGAAAATAATTCATGAAGAATATTTCTTTTAAAGAATATATGATTTCATAGGAAATAAGATACATAAGTAGGAGATAACACATAAAATTTAATTTTAATAAATATAAAAATTACATGTTAAAACAGTTATTTTCAAACTAAACTAAACTATGTCCAAAACCATAAGATCTTGGAACTTTAGGGCTCCGTGCTATTCCTTTAGGGGTTCCGAGAGTCGAAATCAAAACTGAAAGGATTTTTTAATACCAGACTAACAGAAATTCTAAACGCCTACACTAATTAATAAAATGTGCTTTTTGTTTCAGTTGTATAAATAAATTATTATTCAATTAATTGATAAATTAATAACAATTACAAAACTCGTGTCTGAATGCGTCAACAAAAATTATAATGAAATAACGAAATTCTTCCCATTTCACATTTAAATAGTTTTCAACTTTGATATATTTTGATTGCATTTCTAAAATTTATTTTTTTGAGGATGATAGAAATTCCATAAAACCTAAACACATAATTTTTTGATAAAAGGTCTAAAGAAAGCTGGCTTAGAATCTTTTTATTTTGCGATTAATTATAACCGAAGTTTTATATTTTAATCGATAGTACGGTATAATATAAATAAAGTTTAAATATATTGTAGTAACTCGAAGCTATCTGGTTCTTCATTTTCTGTATTTTATTTAACACAGTTAACTAATTTGTAACTAACTTGCATCTGAAAGTGTCATAAAATGAATATAATAGTAACACACTTACTCTTTCTTTAAAATTTCCTTATTTTATTTATAAATTCACACAGTAACTTTACATTATGAGCATAAGGTGTTAAAGCTAATTAAGACATTTTAATTATTTGTATGATCATTTTTTAACTACGTCATCGAACTTTATGGACTTATTTTTAATGCAATTGCATTTCATTTTTACTTCTTTATTTCCTTTGCATGTAAATATGCTTCAAAATGTGTACTTTTAAATTATGCATTGTAACATGAAAAACGTAATTAATTTGGTTATTATTATTTGAAGCTAAAGTAAATCTTGATAATAATGAATGTGTGACAATGCTTGTTGGTAAAGACCAGGTTCCCCATTTATCGTTTACTGAATCGAACTGATAAACAAAGCATTATTCTACCTATATATATTTTAAAATCAGCATTAAAGAAATAATACGCATCAAAGCATAATAATATATGCTAAATGCTCTGAAGCTCCGTATCCCTTTTCAAAAGCTGCGGTGTTCACATACAATGCAGTTGTTCTACATTTATATACACAGAGCAGCCACTATTCTAATGTTTGGTACAGAAAAAGCAAAGATTGTAGTTTAATAATATTTACTTCTTCTTTTTCCTCGCTTCATAATTATGAATTGAGTCGTCGAAGGGGTTGTTAAAATTTATACAGCCACTGGCATCGAAATGTATATAATATAAATATCATGGACGTTCCAAATCAAAGACCATAGTTTATGTTAAATTGTTTTACTAAGTAATGTTAGTAACATAATTTGAAAGATCCAAACACACATTAATTTGAAATATTTGGAATGTAGAAGGTAAGTCAAAATTAACTAAATTTACTGAGCGTACCAACGTGGGAAATGCTCCTACCTTATCTTAGTCACGTGGGTTGGTGTACAAGCATACAGTGACAAAGCCGCAGTAATTCTGGGTATAACTCTTTTTTTTTCGTTTCCCAGTAGCAGTCGCTCACACGAACTCAGTCCATACATGTTTCTAAAACAGTGCCTCTTAAAACTTTCCATTTATAATCTCTTTTTATAATCGAGATTCTTTTGCAACCCCCAAATATTAAATATAAAATAAAGATATAAAAACAAATATTCTCCCATAAGTAATTTATTTCTTTGATAAAAAGTATACATATGAAGAGAATATTTCTTGGATTTGTTTCAAGTAATCAGAAATTAATGAAAGAAACTCACGTTTCAATGAGACACATATACTTGTTTTTTTCTGCATAATAAATTAAATTTTGGCGCAATATTCGACACCGCTGGATTACACGTTTTTCAGCCTTAACCGAAATTCGCATTTAATAAGCGTTAAAGCTGAAAAAGTCGCTTCACTTGAGTATGATAAGTAAGCTAGACTGGCATAAGAATACCTAATACCATTTACGAAATTGTGGAAAATTCAATTCTAGCTAGATTCAGAATTTCAGTCAAGGTTTTTCTGAAAACTAAAGTTTTAAATTCGAATCACTCCATAATTCAACAAATTCCTTTTGGACTTTGTGTCGCAGGTGATTAATCTCAAAAATGTTATTTAATGCTATTTTTTAAAGGTCTCATTAACGTATTTTTTAAATTCGAGTATCTGAATTAAATTTTTGCGACCCAACATTTCATTTTATGACTCATTTGGACTCGCGACCCACAGTTTAAGAAACGCTGTTCTAAAACTATAAGAACCGAACGTAATTGCGACAAATGCATAAATGAAATGTATTTAGGGGCCACATGAAATTGCTTCTGGAGCCGTACGCAGCATGCGAGATGAGAATTTGAGACTGCAAACAAACCTGATAAAACAATACATTACGATAAATATTTAGCATATTGTTAAAGTCGCTTCAAAATTCATCAGATATTAGGAGTTTTGATTTTCTTATATGCAAAGAAGCAGGATGTGGGTTAAAAAATGCACTGTGTTTATAGAATGATTAAGAACAAAGTAATATTCATTGAATTGAATGGTTCATTATTATGCCAAGGTTAAAAAGAATTCATATACATAAAGCGTCCATTTCCCACAAGGCAGAAGATTAAATTTAATACATAAAGAATTCTGTGCTACAATAAAAGGACTGAACTCACAAACGGATTGCCTTATCCCAAATCTCCAGGCAACTGAAGTAGATGGCTACTGCATGCAAGATTAATTGTGAACTAGCCCTCCTATTGTTTTGAGAAATTCGCAATAAATCAAGTTTTCCTTACATTAGCCGTACTTTCCAAGATCTAAAGACCATTTTAAATGCAAAGTAAGAGAGCAAAGTAAAATAAACAACAACTTACGTCAATTTCTTCTATTCCCACATCTCCCCTTCCATCTCCGCTACCCTAAAACACAAACAAAACTCATTAAAATACAGTCGAAGGCTATACAAGATAAATTAGTTGCTAATGAAATAAGATTGTAACAGGAAAATTTAAATTTCGTAGACAATTCTTCTTTTCTATTTATCTGTTAATTTTTTTAACACTAGTTTTTGTTTGTATTAAATTACTTGATTAGACACTTTCGAAGCTATGTACGCTTGCTTTTGACGTGTGTTACTTAATTCGCATAAATCAAGTAACAGTATAATTATTTAATCTCTTTATAAAAATACTTCAACTTCTATGAAGCAATCTATTATTTATCAGTACAACAGAGTATACTTTATAATATTTCATTGTTTCCCAATGGCTACAATATTGATAATTAAATATATGTCACTTGAAAAGTAGACTCTGTCTTGGAGTTTTATTGTTACATATAAATATCAATATTGTAATTATTTATACCCCTCAAAAACCTTCGCAAAAAAATTAACAAAAGAAATAAAAATACAATTAAAGAAACGCTTTTGTACAATAAGCTTTTATTTAAAATGGGCATGATAATTAATGCACTAAAAGGAGAAAAATAGGTTATCGTATAGTTTAATAGGAATAATGGAAATCTATTGCTTTAATTGCGTTGTCATATGCATAAGCCATTATCATTTAAAATTTTCTATTAATTTAATTGCACTGTCAAATGTATAAATTGTTGTCTTTTAAAAATTGATCATTGGCTTCTCCCGATCTTGGGTGCAGACGAATCTGAGAGTTTTCCACCCCTCATCCCCTAGTACCAAACCACTCCGAAGAACTTTCGAGTCGCCAATATTTTATGTGCTCCATGCCACACAGATACTTGCACATTAACTATGCCTTCTCCGGAATTTGAACTCGGGCTTAAAGATACAGCAGTCAGCATTCCTAATGACTGAATCGATCACGAAAACTGAATTAAAATTGAATTTAATTTACTGAATTGAATTTAAAACAGAATGTGTAGCATTCGATATAAATTAGGGCAATGAAATTATCTAGAAATATTTCACAATGATTCACATTCAAAAAATAATCGAACTCAAGGAGAATATTGCTTAGTTACTAAAGTTTTAAACGGTAAAGACTACGAAAGGCGTATTAGGAGAAAAAAATATGATAATAACGAGCGCCTGGATCAAAAATTAAGCGAAGAAACAAAACTGAAGTAGCAGAGATTTCGGAAAATTAACTAAAATAATTCTGGACTCAGACAAAAAAAAGTCAGATTGTAATTGCAAGCCCCCTAAATGCGAGAATAATATTAGAAAAAAAGCGTGAAACTTTTAAATAGCATTTCTAATTCATTAACAATTTACCCGATGAGTAGACTGACGATGAAATTATATAAGATTCCAACGGAAGATTACGTAAACAAATTGGAAGGTAACGTGAATCTAATGACTACAGAATTTGCTCCAGAGTGAGATAACCATAATATGATCCGAATCGTCATAATATGCATGAAAATCATGTTTGACAGATAAGTTTTAATTTTTTATTGATTGGCCCTACCCATGCATAAATATCTTCAGTCAGTTTAAACTTATCATAACATCTTCCGACCTACCCACAAAATCACTTTACATTTTAGGGTGCGGCTTAAACAGAACTACAAGTTGTATTTTTCTCATTAAATGACATAAGCAACTGATAACATAACTAACAACAAGAACTTTAACTGGTTAAAATGATTTTTTTTTCAATGTGATACGTCTTCATCAAGGAAGTTGTTCTACTGTGTCTTTTCGCAATTTTCTCAATCTTATAAATATACTAAAAAATGACAAAAATAAGCAACATTTAGAGTCTGGTATATAAAACTACTGTAATAATTAACAAAGGAGCATAAGTCAGAGGTTTTTATCATGTTATTAAAGCCGAGTGTTTAACAAGAGTTAAACTGAAAGTATCCCGTGGTAAAATTTCAACCTACTATTAATTGCATTAAAATTAAAAGCTTATATTTACCGTATATACTCGCGTATAAGTCGATACCGCGTATAAGTCGACCCCCCACTTCGACATAAAGAATTCGTAGAAAATAAGAAACCCACATATAAGGTCGACCCCCCACTTCCGAAATCGATCGAGAAACTTCGAAAAAAGATTTTTAAGTACTACATTTATTCAAAATCATTTGAGAAAAAAAGTAAATATATGATAAAAAATACTTTGGTAAATAAACAAAATCAAAATCCTTCAACGTCTGATTCATGGTCAGATTCGCCAAACATTTCATAGAACTCTTCTGTCGTCATTGGCTCGTCATTATACATATTTTCAGTCTCGAACTCTGTATTGTTACAATCACTACTACAGCCTTCGTCGTCATTTTCACTTTCAAAAACAGCATCATCTTCCGTGCCGTCTAGTTTGTTGCTAATACAACATTTTTTAAATGATTTTATAATCATTCAGAGGGTATTTCGCAGGCATTCGCATTTTTCAGGGGAAAAAACATAAAAATTTCCAAAAGTGTTCACAATTTTGGCCACCACTGTAGTTCGTCAACATAATTAAGTCATGAAATACTTCAAGTAAGTGACTTATTTGATAAGTCGTCCAATTCGAGTGCGGGAAGAAAACAACTGCATTATATAAAGAAATTTTTGAACTTCCGATTCTTTTAATTTTTTATGGCCCCGCGTATAAGTCGAACCCCCACTTTGAAGTCTCTTTTTTTTTGTCCAAAATATCTCGACTTATACGCGAGTATATACGGTAATATAAATTCTTTAAATATAGAATATAATTTTTTTACAGAAATGTAAACGATTTTACTGTATATTTATTACAAATGAAACAAATTCTTAGTATTTTCACTTAATTCGTTTGTAGGTGACACACTGCTGTAGTTTCAAGATAAGAAAATGCACATATTAAAATATGATCTGAAGTGAGTGCTCATTCAGTGAATAATGTGGACAACAATAACCTTTCATTAATTCTTATTCCATGTAAACGAAAATGAAACACTATGTAACAGAAGTGGCATTAAATTACAGATAGCAAGTCAATAACGAGTTGGGAACCCCTATGGCCTTGATAACGGCTGCCACACGACGAGGCATAGATTCAACACGTTTGCGGAAGCTTTCAACGGGAATAGCTTGCTAAACATCGGCTACAGCTGTCCTTAATTCAGGAAGGGTCGCTGGTGTTGTGCTTTCACGCCTTTCTTCCAAAACATCCCAGAGGTGCTCGATAGGATTGATGACCTGGGAATGCAGCAGACATAGTTTTTAAGCATGAAGAAGTAGCTGCCAGACGTAGCCCTATTAATGATATTTATTTTTATTTAGGGCGGCCGCGTCAGCCACTCAACGCTCGCAAATTTGAAAGAGTTGGAATTCTTGAAATTGTCGTCCAAGAGATACTTTGTGACGATGATAAAGTATTTCACTTCCATGACACAGCCTCACGTTTGTACTCATTGGAAACTTGGGACTCTCGCCTCGTATTTTCACTGCATGTCCATAGATGTCGCCAAGGTAGCCTAAACTAAAACACCAAATCACCACAAGTGAGACATTAATCAACAACCGCTTTCATATTCGCTGCATCTTCATGGTTGACACACATTTCGTTAAGTCAATATAAATGAAAGTTGCTAAAAGTACTCTTGCCACAAAATTTATTGTATTTTTGAAGACAACAGGCTGAAGCCAATCGCCAGAAACGAGGCAGATAGCGTAATATGACATATTCCAAAATGGAAACTTAATTGAAAAAAAGAAAGGTTTTGATTTGTTATAATCTCATCAGCTAGTGGCTTAGCTAGGATTCCAGCGCCCGGGGACAAGTGAAGAATTTGCGCCTCTTTCTGTGTGGCAAGGATGGAAAACATTTCATTAAAAAATTTCGTAGCATCAATAGGGCGCCGCCTGGATGCTGCGCCCAGGGACAGATGTTCCCTCTTGCCCCACCCTAGCTACGCAACTGTCATTAGCTACTAAAACTTTGGATATTGGTTGTTTGCATTTCAGTTTACAAATTAGCTGCGTCACCAATGTTATTAAGGATGGAAAAAAATAGAGAATTAAAGGATTATTGAAAATTAAAGATAGTATTTTTATTTCCGTATTTTTTATGTTGCATATTAAAAAATTATTAAAAGGAAAACCAGATATTTACAGAGATATTTCTGCTTTCAAGGGTAGCATAGGCCCTATTATTCTGTATATATGTTACCGGGAAAGTATGGAACGCCGGCATTCTATAGAATACCTAGGCATTTCATAGAATGCATCGCGTTTTTAGGCAAAGTATGAAACATGAGAATTATTATATACTTTACTTAAGCACTCTATATAATATCTAGGCAATTCATGGAATGCCTGGCATTTTTAGGCATATAAAATATGAGAATTATTATATATTTTACCTAGGCATGGTATGTAATACCTATGCGTCTTTAGAAATACAAATGCTCTTTATGTAAAGTATGAAAAAAGTTAACGATGAGGCTACTATTTAAAAGAAGTTCATTTCTCAAAAATACAGATGGTAATTGGAAAACATAATTGAAAGACTAGCATTAAAAATTTTTATTTCAAAATATATAAATACAGAGAACAAAATTAACATTCGAAAATACTCGTAGGTCCAAGATGATATTATTTTCAAGAAAAGTTTAGTCAGACTTCCCAAGTACTAACGAATGAAAATAATTTAAATTGCTTAAAATAAGAAAGCAAAAGCCTAATGTTTGGCACAGATTTTAGTCAAGAATAAAACCTACCCCTGTTGATTTGCTAATTTTCTGTTTTACTTTGGCGAGTTTCTCCCCTGTCTTGAAATTAAATTGCTATCTGAAAATTTAATATTAATGACGAATTTCTAAAAATTTATTTTTAAAATTGACAGAATACTAAAAATATAAAAATAAAATCATTTGTAAAATGCCACATAATCTGTATATACTTGATTTCAGGTAAACGCTTAAAGCAATTTTAAGTTAAACAATAACGATTAATCTAATAATTTAAGAATT